TAAATATATATTTCATACTTATTGAATAAAACCGAGTAGTTTCTACTAGCGAAGGACTATTGTCGGAACCGGACTTCAAAAGGTGGATACGATTAGAGGGAAGACATTTGGATTCCTAAAGTGAGTAACCACAAGAAGTGATTGTTACCAAACCGGGAATTGATTTCCTCATACATCGTCGGTTTTGAAGGAGTTCAAGAACAAAGGTAATTTTTATAAATTACATATCAAATCAAAATTAGTAAAAGTTACTAGATTTTAAATGATGCTTATTCGTTATATCGTTATACTTATGTACGGAATAAGTATTTATAAGATAAATACTTATAAAATTTTAAATTCCGCTGTAAACTCTGTTCGGTACGGTATATCGAACCCAACACCAATAAGCTATGATGAGGCAATGTCGGACATTGACTCAGATAAATGGCAAGAAGCTATGCAATCTGAGATAGATTCCATATATTCAAACAAAGTATAAACTTTGGTTGAACCACCACAGGGTATTGTACCCATAGGTTGTAAATGGGCTTACAAACGAAAACGTGGTAGAGATGGAGAAGTAAATACTTTTAAAGCAAGACTGGTTGCTAAAGGTTATACTCAAAAACAAGGAATTGATTATGAGGAAACTTTTTCACCAGTAGCAATGCTTAAATCTATTCGGATATTGCTAGCCATAGCTGCGTATTATGACTACGAGATATGGCAAATGGATGTGAAAACTGCTTTTCTTAATGGAAAGATTAAGGAAGACATTTATATGAAACAGCCGCAGGGTTTCATATCTAGTGGGAGCGAACAAATGGTTTGTAAGCTTCAAAGGTCCATTTATGGACTTAAACAAGCTTCAAGGAGTTGGAACATTCGGTTTGATGAAACGATCAAAACGTTTGATTTTCATCAGAATCTGGATGAACCATGTGTTTATAAGAAGGTTAGTGGGAATGCAGTTGCATTTGTTGTTATATATGTTGATGATATCCTACTCATTGGGAATGATATAGGAATGTTACAATCAACACGGACATGGTTGTCTAAACAGTTCTCCATGAAAGATTTGGGAGAAGCATCTTTTATCCTATAGATAAAAATCTATAGAGATAGATTTAAAAGGATGATCGGACTATCACAGTCAATGTACATAAATAAGGTACTAAAAAGGTTTTAGTATGGAAGAATCCAAACGTGGATATATTCCAATGAGTCATGGGGTTTCACT